ACTTTTCATATGAATAATATATGAACACATGTATTTGAAGAAATCGTAATCTTCATATTGATCGTCCACTCAAAAGAACCCACATAAAGTGTAAGTTCTATCCATACTTCCTTTGAGCATTTTGAATGTGTTTACATCATTTGAAAGGGTGCATTTGCATTTGTTTATTGATCACTGTACTTCGAAAGCTAGATAGAATGAAACTAGGAAACAAGACACAGTTTGAAAATCTTGGAAACTCTGAATTGTAGCAATGGAAACTCATAGCGGTGCATTCCATAACAAAGAGCTTATTTAACATTAGTTTTCGTTGTAAAAGAAAAGCCGAAGTAATTGCTAAATTTACTTAAAATATTATGAAAAAAAAACATTGACTCTGTCATCATTACTATTAAGGCACATGAAGAATAAGGATATGAAGTATATTATTATTATTTTTTTTAAAAATTACACTGTACCTTTGGTATCTCTGTATTTGCATATATTGCAAATAGAAAAACAAATCCGCTTTAAGTTTATGGCATTAAATTTATGGCATAAAATTTTCAACAAAATGAAACATTTTAATATAATTATAATATCTCAATTTATTAAGTAGTTTTTGTATTTAATTTATTCATTTTTACAATCTTTTTTTTTATATTTGATGGACATTCGTTTTTGATTGAAAGCCATGAGCGGATATATTTCTTATCTCCATTAGAATTCGACTGAGCATAATTTAATTTTATGGTTAAAGACAACATGTGTTTATGATTTTTTATGAATTTCATATAGACATATATACCAATTAAAGTAAGACTTAGGAAGTATGGATAAAAAGAAATTTTATTTATTAATGTTGTAAGCGTCAAGCATATATTACTTTTTTACACGAAATTTATGTATTTAGCTCGCTGCTCGGCGATTCTCAGATGTAAGAATATCTTTCCGAGATTCTGCTGGATTCTCCCATTTTTCTTTCTCTGAATTCAAAATAATTTTTAGAGGCTGTTTTATATGATATAATACACAGATTTGGGATTAAAGGATGATTACATTAAACACTGTGTTTTGGGTCTTATTCGATCGTTTCTGTTGCTTTTAAATATGAACCTAATCTCACTTTTATATATTCGCTACAAGAGATCTGTTAATTAGACGCCAAATTTAAATGTAAAAATAATTTTACACAATAATATATAGAGAATAATACATACCCTTTTCCATATCACATCCTGTATCAGCCCGAGACACCAATATCAGCCAGAGGGCCGAAGGATGTGATGTGGGAAAGGGTGTGTTTTATTATATTTATTACATACTAGTAATAAAATACAGAACACATTAAGTTGAGGAGAAAATAAGTACTAAATAATCGGACTTCTTAAAATGTACACAGTCTATTGTCTCATGCAGTTTCGGTTTGTTTCTGCATGTGCTTCTTTTTCAAATGTCCTCAATCCGTAATTTTAAAATAATCTATTATTTATCAGTTAGATTAGCATTACATTCAAAAAGTTAAAATTAAGAGAATTATGTACCCCCCAAATATGTGTATGATCACAAGTACTGTTTTTTTTAGGTTTAATATACTAGGGGTGTGATACCGGCATTGATCTGCTATTGTAATGTCAGCCATATCGCATGTATTTATTACTAAGTATGTAAGAAAATAATTTATTTCATGTTTTAGTCCTTATGGTTTTCTAAATACAGATAATTTACATCTACCTGAATATAGTGTATGCATGAGAGGTGGAGCTAATATCGAAAGAATGGGTTAGAAATCAGACTGGATGAATAACAATGGCGTATTTAAAAAAACAACAAGATTTTCATTTCCCACTTTCTCATTTGATCTATTTGGCACAAGAATATTATTTACACTGTTAATAACAAAAAAAAAAAAAAAAAACATTCAAAAAGGTTTAAATCGTATGAGTTTCTACAGCTTTACAGTAACTTGTTCGACCACAGTGTCCTATTTAGCACAAAGCATTCTACCCGTAAGTCAAGTGCCGGAATTTAGTATGCATAAAACTACCCAAGGAAAGATATCACGTGGTGAATTTTAATATTCAATGTGTCACTGCCCTTGGTAACAGAAAAGAGAGCGAATGTAAGAAGAAGCAGTTTAAATGTTCTCTTTTAAACCATAAGCGCATGTTTCTCTTTTAAGGTCTTTCCCCTCTCGAAATTTTAATGATGCAAAGTAAAAAAAGAATAATGCATTCATTTTCATTATATAGTATACATTTACCAATTATTGCAAAAAATGTATAGGTTGCCACATTATTTACGATGAGAGACACATATATAAACAGAAGTATATGTCAACATTTAAAAAATCGTACAATTTTTTAAAACAATATTTAAAAAAAAATCATGTAAAAACTAGTTCAAATACATAAATCTGATGTTGAAAGTTCCGAAATACTTGCTACTAATAAGATACTTTTGCATTTTGAATAGCAGGGAAACTATTTTACATTAAAAATGCAATTAAGAATAAAGATACCCGAGAAGGGGTTATTTTCCTTGTCAAAATTTTTTATAAGATTGAATAATTGATTAAACAAAGAAAAATATACATTTTAAAGATTATTTTACTTAACAATATTTATCATCACACCTATTGAAAAGCATTCTTTCAAAGATTTTAATTAAGAACTGTTTTTGCAAAAACATATGACATCGTGCGAGGATGGAAATACCTTAATCTCCCTGAACACAACATCACAAATGCAATTATACAATTACTGTTAAAAAGGAGAACAATAGACAGACATGCACTGGCTATGTTTTAAGTCAGTAAAAAAGTAGATGTCCTCATTATCGGACGGAAATCGAAGAAATTCTGATGCCCTCGATTCTTACATCGTAAATACATACATTTTTATTGTAATTCAGTCATGTTGTAGATAAGAAGTTGATCATTCCTGCTTTTTTAAACAGGAGACAGTTATAAGACTATTGCGCATGGACTTGGGGAAAATCCAGACTTTGTTGTTGTTCAGCTAAAGATGGCCAATGGTTATGTTTCCGAGGCAGCAGGTGCGTCCGGCCAGACTGTTACTTCACACGTTCTGAAGAATCACCAATGTTCGGCCAAATGATCTTCGATTTCGTTGTCCACTTAAATATACCACTTAACATCCTCCACGAACAACTATTCTGTCTACATATTTATTAACTTTATATACACGTGAAAATTACCCACGAACATTTTTTAAAGATTCAAAGAACAAAAAAAATTAGTTGAACCACGTTCAATAAACTCACACAGGTGAAATCATTCAACGCCTAATTTTTCTCAGTTTGTAAACTTTTTGTATTTCACATTATAGACCCAAGACAATCCATTTAAGGAGTTCTTTATGGCATTTCATTGTAGGTGTGACATTCAATTCAGAAGTCTTACAATTTTATGAAAATATCTGTTTTTGCATTTAATGACCAAGAAATCCGTCTTTGATCTATGTTTGGTAAGGTTTTTATGTTCGTTATTGCTCTATCATATCAATAACTATTAGATTTAAGATAAAAAAAATTGTTCATCATATACTTTAATTTTTTGGAAGTTTGTTACTTCTTTCGAGTTTTTTTTTTTTAGCTCAGATGAGCTAAAAGCTCAAGGGAGTGTTTCTGATCACCTGTTGTCCGTCTGTCTCTCTAGCTGTCCGTCCGTTCGTAAAGTTTTCACAGTTTCAATTTCTTTTCAAGAACCACAGAGAGAATTTTTATCAAACTTGGTACGTAGCATCCTGACCTTGAGTAAATTCTAAATAATTGAAATCATAAACCCTGGAGAAGGGCGGGCCACGAAAGGGAATCCAATTTTTATATTGCATTATTTAGAAAAAAAACAACGAAAAATCATCTTCTCAATAACCATTTGGCCAGAAAAGCTAAAACGTATGTTGAAGCATCCTTGGATAGTGTAAATTCTAAATTGTTTAATTCATGACCCTTTGGGGTAGACAGGGTCACAATAAAGAGCCCAAGTTTTACATTGAAATATATAGGAAACATCTTTAAAATCTTCTTCTCAAGAACGATTGGGCCAGAGATGCACAAACTGATGTTGATGCATTGCTCGGTTGTGTACCTATAGATTCTAAATTGTTCAAATCATGATCCCTTGAAGGAGGGCGGTGCAACAATAAGAAAGTCCAAGTTAAACATTAAAATATATAGGACAAATCCAGAAATACTTAAACTTTCTGTTTCTGGTGTAGATTCTAAATTGTTCAAATCATGACCCCCGGGATAGCAAGGGGTCACAATAAGGAATCCAAATTTTACATTGAAATATATAGGAAAAATGTCGTCTTCTCAAGAACCACTGGCCAAGAAAAGCTGAAACTTATATGGAAGTATTCTGTGGTTGTGTAGATTTTACATTCTCCAGATTATGTGGCTTGTGCAGTAGATGGTTGGGGAACAGAACGCTTTAGGGGCTATACTGCTAGTCTTTACATCCAGGCCTGGATACTGGATTCCTGTAATAAGCATTTCTCTACAAAATTCACACTGGATAAGAGCGACACAAAGGCTGTCGAGCGAGTAAGCATGTATTCGGTGTATAGTTTAGATTCAGCTTTCGTTTCTGTTCTGGTAAGTCTAAAGTTTAAGTTTAGTGTAAAAATAATCCAGCATTGAACAGGTCATATTCATTCTTAACGCTAGTTTTAACATTTTACTTTGGTTTTGAGTGGCTTTGTAAAACTATGTCCTTAATACGTTGAGGTTTTTCTATGATTAAAAAAGATCTATATTGTATTTTTTCATCAAAATGAAAGACTTTTCGGACTTTCTAATGGAATACTGTCTAGTAATTTATTTATTATCAAGCAAATGTTATGCTTTATTCTTTAATTGCAACTGGGAATGTAAAACATATATAGAAACTTCATGAGTTAAATTGGTCAATACAGGTAAAAAGAATACAATTAAAATGACATCTCATATACCTTTTCCATGTTTTTATACACTTCTTTCCGCTTTAATTCCATCAGATGAAAGTGTTATCTCCAAGCAACGAGGGATTCATATTTCATGCCGGTGGTAGCGTCATGGTTGATACATATAATGACCCATATGGAGCTATAATATACGGATACAATGAGACAGAAGTTCTGCTCTGGAGACCATCCCAGACCAATACAAATGGACATTTGGTTTACGTGGGTGGAAAGTGGGGTAACGGGCTAAGTAATCAAGAAAGTGACGTTGTTGAAGTCATCGTTAAAGTTATCGACATAACAGGTATTAAGTTTTTGATTAAATAAAGAATTTAGAGATGAAATGTTCTGCAAAAACATTAAATTCATTTTTTACCTTTCTAGTGAAAACTCTCTGATAATGGATAAAGAGACTACGTATATATGTAAAAGAACATCATCATAAGAAGAATTACCTCTTTTTGTCAAATAATATAACTTCTTTCTATGTAGGCACGCCTTGCAATGGTACAGAATTATGCTCGCCTGATTGGTCAAAGACTAGATGCATTTCTACAGGTATTAAATATTCATGTACAAGACATTGCAAGGTTTCTTTGCAAAATCTGTTAAAAAGTGTAACAATTTTTTTTTTCATTTTATAAAACATTGTGTTCATCACTGTAAATTGCACGACCTTTCGAAAACATAAATAACAATACAGAAAATGTTAATTTAATTCATATTCTTCGTTCGAATTTCGTTGCCATTTATTCCAGCTACTATATTCCTCCAAGATTAAATTTGAAATTATGAAACTATATTTCAATGCAGATTGTCCTATCCCTCCTGATATTGACAATGCTTATAAAGTTTATGAAGGAGTGACTAATGGTAGCAAGACGTTGTACTCTTGTAAATCAGGATACACTGAAAGTTCAGATGACGTCATAATTAACTGTGTAGAGGGTACATGGTCTTTAACTTCAATGTTCTGCAGAGGTACGTAACTCTTTTGTGAATATATGAGAAAAATGTGAAAATTACATAACTAATTGAAAAAATATATTTCTTAACAGAATTTTTAATAAAATAAAATCCTGAAACTTTTTTTCATATGAAGTTGCTTGCTCCACGCCTCCTGCAGTTGAAAATACAGCAGTTTTTGTTCAGGACAATAGAGCAAAATATCACTGTCTAACGGGATATTTCGCTATGAAAAATACACATGACGTCATCGAGTGCATAAACAGTACCTGGCCATCTACTGACTTAAAATGTATAAGTAAGGATCAAGACCGTTATGTATTTTGCACATGTAAATATAGTGTCTTAAATTGTATTAAAGGATTTTTTTTTGTTCCAATGTTCCCATGTACTTTAGTTTTCAAAAATTAGAAATATATCCTTTTCAAAAGATTGTATTAAAGGTATGCACCAAATTATATTCTTAAAGTATTGTAAGTCAAAAAGGTATACATAATCTGTAAATCGTGTTAATGAATTAATATATTGTAGTAATTCTAAAAATATCAACTAAGTATAGTTTTTTCTCTGGATGTATATATCTTTACAGAATCTTGTCCTGAGCCACCCGCCATTGCTAACGCTGACGTCATGGTCTCTGAGAATGTTGCTTTATACTCCTGTCGTCAGGGTTTTCTTCCAAAATCTGGAACCAACTCAATAAACTGCTTACAATCTGAGTGGCAGAAAACAAACCTCATCTGCTATGGTAGGAGGATTTCACTATATATCTTGTCATTCAGTGCCATTTTAAAAAAAAACAACTTTGTTTTGACATGTTATATGTTGTATGTTTTTAACCTTAATAATTATATATATGTATTACAAGTATCATTGACATAAAGTAACTAAATAGGTTTAAGTGGTTTGATACCTTGAAAAGGAAAACTTATTTGTATAAAAAAAAACAACAAGAACATACATAATGATATACTTCATTATTACATCAATTGCTAAATATGTCTAAATGTATAAAGAAAGTCAGGAGGCTTTTGTTCTTATAACTGACAATTCTTTACATTTTCGAAAAGAATATTCAAACAATAAAACCGAACACCAATGCAGAGTTTGAGGTTTGAGATTGTGAAAATCAGAAAATAAAAACATGAATTAAATTGTTTGAACTAAGGCGGAGCACTTAATCATCTCTTAATTAGGATTTCACCTAATATTGTTTTTTTCTACCCCATTGTATAATTTCAGCGTCGTCATGCGGCCCAGTTCCTAACATAACAAATGCTGATTATCTAGTTGACAATGACGTAGCCATGTATGCATGTCGATATGGATACAAACCAACAAATGCTAAAAATAAAATAACATGTATGTCTGGAAAGTGGACCCATACCAGTTTGCAGTGTCAAGGTACTATTATCTCATAAAAAATGTATTTCCCTGGATTTATTTTTTATGTGATTTTTTGTTTTGCCAGAAAAATACTTACATGTATGTAATAAATAATTACACTGAGTAAATAATCAGTATTTCTGGCCATGGGAGACGAATGTTTGTAAATTGTATGGGTCTCCCCTCTTCTTAAAGTTTCTCACCCAGGCACGATTAATGTAAACGTTCAGGTTGTTGGAATTTTCGATATTTCCAAACCGACAGAATTGTGTTTAAAAGGAACATAATGATCCCCACAAACTAAAATAATGCACAAATAATCGAATCGATCTCATAGGGATAATTGTTTGCTTTTTACGGAATCTTGAAATGTAACAAGAGATATTGTGAGCAATGAGCTCACTAAATGATTCCCCTGCCTCCCTAATGAATATAATGGCGGTGTTTATGTTTTGCTGTGGAAAACCCCAAAATATGTGTCGGATCAAAAAGTAAAACGAGAGGTGCACAGTGGCATTATGTAATAAAGATTCTGTAAAAGTTTCATCAAATTTAATTCAGTGGTATGAAAGGATTTGCGGATAAGAGATGGGTACGCCAAAGCATAACAGACAGGTGGACGTACAAACAGACGGACGGACATGCCGATTACTATATACCCTCCCGTTTTTCAAGCGGGGGGATAAAATAAATGTATAACTCTTTGATTTAAAATCTAAAAATAAGCCATTTAACGAGGTTGGCTCCTGATATTTAAAGTCTCAAACGTTTTTGTCAAGTATATTTTTTAGTTTCTACACACATAGCTAAATTAAAAACCAAATAAAAAGAAATGGGGTTAATGTGCTTTTTTCGCTCTACAGAATATTAAATATGACCTTTTTGCACTGAAATTTATGTCTTAATAAAAAGTAATAGCTTCGACGTTTTCCTCCCAATATATTGATCTAAGTTACGCATGGAACAAAATAAACTATAAGTCTATTTAATAAAAGACACTTTAAAATTGTGACAAAGAAAAAGTTGCTTCGCATAATCAATTATTTGACATTTCCGCGCTCACAAACTAAGATTTTTCTGGAACTGAAAATTTTATAAGCAATAAAATTATTTTAAAATCTTTAACTTTTGCTGACTTTAAGCAGATTGGTCAAAAGTATCTTAGATATTCAGAAAAGAACATCAAAAGTGGGCTGAATGATTTAAATTTTGAAACAGTATTTTAAAAATTGTGAATTTTATGTTAAAGTTGGCTCAATTTCTATCGTGGACTTTCAGATCATACTTACTATTATTAGGTCATATTTCGTTGAAAAAAAAATATATGAAATAATCTTATAAATGTTAAAGAACCAGCATTACACATATCACTACAAAAGCAGCTTTCTTAGCAACCAGCATGGAAAGGTAGGAATCTAAAATTAACAGAACTGCACCTATAATGTAGTTCAAAAAGGGAAAATTGATTATATGCTTTTTAAAAAAATCTTCCGCCACAAAATGGCTTAATCCTATTTGAATGGAATTAAATCGCGTTTTTTTCCATTGGATATAGTTCAATTTGCATTGTAGAATCCATGTTGAATGTAAGAACTTTAAAATGATGCAGAATTTTAGAAATAAATGTCCAGACCAAAATCTCCTCAAAGCTAAGGATCGAACCTCCTTAAATAAGGGTTGTTTTGTTTTTCAGATACAACAAAGGGACTCAGAAGCTCTATCACTTATGATATGCTTGCAGAATGGATACAAGAGATGAAGAAGAATCTATCCGTGCATAAATCAAACACCAGTGCCTATAACAGAAGCTTGATCAGTGTCTACGAATCTGGTCCTAGCGCCGTACAGATAGGAAGTTTTGGGGTCTTTCTGATAAGTTTTACTATAATAGTTTTAATTTTACCGGATATACTTGCTGTTGTCAAGAACCTGTGTAACAAGATAAGTAAGAATTTTTGTCAACGTCGGAGAGGGAGAGATAAAAAATAAAAAAAAATTCTGTGAATTGACTTATTTTCATGGGGGTTAATTTTCGTGGTTTTAATTGTATGAAGGACCTAGTGATTTTTTTTTACCTCAAATTGCAGTTTTACACATACGAGGGTTGTCCCGTAAAATCGTGGACAAGTTGTCTAGTGTGAAAAATAAACATCACTGCGTTCTGAAATTTTCATTATTATTTAGTACATATTATAGTAATATACACAGCAAATTGCAGATAAATATATACATAAATAAGAAAATTATGAGATTTTATGCCATGTATTGTATCACCTTACGGAGCATGGATTATAACGTCAAAGTGTCTAAAACAGCGTCACGTTTTATCCTTGCTGAAAATGAAGTTGGATGAGTCCGACTTAAATTTAGGAATTTCATTGAAACACATTCTTTAGTCTCCATAAACAGTTGTACCAATTGGCACCCTCATGCGATCTTCTGAAGATTTATTAGTAAGTTACGGACAATATTCTCACCACCATTCAACTAATAGAAAATCTCATATCGGCGGCCTACTGTGACAGCGTCTTTTGCTATTAAATTAGGAGTTTGTCCGTATGCTTTGTGCTCCCCAGAGACTTGATCAAAAAGACTTCGCTAAAAAAAAAATCCTATTTCATTTATATACTTCAGATATGGTGATATTCTTATTATCTTTTTTTCTTCTTTGGTCATTTCAAGTTTCTAAAGGTGTCATTACAACATCAAATTAAAACAGAACAGCTCTCCTGTGCGCCGTAACGTCATAAAACGTCGCCATTTTTCGTGTGTTGTGTTTACCACTTTCCCATTTCGAATGCTCGAGAAACTGCCAAAAATTAACCAAATTCCTTAAAATTTTTACAAAGACCACAAAATTGATTGTGAAATTGAATGAGGATAATTTAAATCCAAATCTTATGTATTTAAAACTTTTATTTTGAATTCAAACTTGCGTATTCTTTAATAAAAACTTGGTTTTTTGACGGTGCGCCGTAGGGCACTACCCCGAGCACATTCAAGCATAATAAACTCTTTATTTTTGCCTATATTTTATTTAAAAATAATCATGCACTTAAATATGATGAATAAATAATTACTGAAATTTCAAGCTTAGTGCGCCCATTACTTTTCGAGAAAAACGCTTTGTCCACGATTTTACGGGACAACCCTCGTATATTACTAATGAACAATTCTTCAACCAAGACAATACCTGGTGCGCTTTGCTAATCAGATGGCAATCCAGAAAATGTAATATGAGAAAATTTACTATGGAATGTTGATTGTTATGATACATGTACTGTTTTTCCATGTACAATTTTAAAAGCATTTCATTTGAATGACCTCTTTATTGTGAATAAGAGCGATGTTTAACTTCTTGGTCATACACTACTAAGTCAGAAACGTACTGACATTCCCAATTTTTACTGACAAACTTAGAAAATTACTGACAATGTGCTGTATTTACTGAAAAACTTAGACAATCACTGACCTTTTTACTGCCGGTACTGATAAACTTAGAAAAGTGCTGACAATCTTAGTCGGTGCTGATAAACTTAGACAAATACTGACCCGTGTACTGTCCCTGCTGAAAAACTTACACAAGTGCTGACATTTACTGATAATTACTGTCCCTATTGTTCTCGCTCTCGGGGAGGCTGCAGTGGTGTGAAATGGATTTTTTTTTATTTCAACATAGATTATTATTTCATTTAGTTATTTTTTCATATAATTTTTAACTATGTCCAGATGATATCTTTGGGAAAAAAATGCTTCATTGGTCTATTTATAGAAAATTGATTTGTAAAAAAAGAGAAGGGATAAAAAAATTTCAAAACCTTCAAAAAGATAAGCAATTAAAAAAAATAAAAATCTTCCTTTAGTACTTAGATACCAGGTATGAAATTTTACAGAGGTCTTTTCCTTTTCATAATTAAACAATGTTATTACATGACATGCATTTTATAAATATTTTCTTAATTAACGTTGACTCCCTGACTTTCTTTAATATTAAATTAAAGAAATAAACTGTAAGGTTAGATGTGTTTTATTCAATTTTGATTTAATTTATTCAAATTAGTTTGAATAATTTTAATAAACTCATAGCGCGCGGTGAGGCCGTGGGTGCCCCCTTTTGAGGAAAGGCGTTTTTTTTTATAGTTTTCATATTATGTAAAATTTTAAATTATGTGGAGGCTGCCCATATTTGTTTTTGTGCAGTCAAACATACCCGAATCCAAGCATTTGCAAGAAGAAACCAAAATTAAAAGACAGACGGGGGATTTAAATTAAAAAAAGACTTTTTATTTTATTCATTGGGCAGGGGGAGGGGGGCTACGGGCCTGTATTGATCATTGATCCTTTGACATTCATTGATAAAGTTAGTGTCCGCATTATTCTTTAGAAATAATGTACATCTTGTAGCTGATTTTCGAATCTGGATTTTCTGGATCCCCACCTGAAAGTGTTAATTTTAATTCAAATACTTGAAAACTATGACATTTCATATTTTTCATCTTTTTTCTATGCATACTCCTGAAACAAAACTTTGA